ACCCCCACCTTGGGTCCGCGAGGTCCGCCTGGGGCGCAATAAATTTTCCCTTCCTTTGAGAAATTTAGCCTGGCTCTCCTTTTCTTTACCCTGCCAAACCTTTCACAAATAAGCATGGCTGATGGCAGCTACCTTCTTTTCCATCATCGAATGCCTGCCGCGTGGCTAACGAGGACACCAGCACCTCCATCTACCCATCTCCTCAGAGAGTGGATGCTCTGGGGAAGTTACTCCCAGCTGCGGCCATCTTGCCAATCCTCAAAAAGTCAGGAGGGAAGGAACAAGAGAAGAGGAAGAGAGAGAAGCTGTATGTGATGAGAGGTTAAAGGCCACCAATTATTGCTTTCAGAGTCAGTCAGTGACACAGGAGACACAGGCTATGTCAGCTAGAAAGCTGCTGAATGATTTTGCAGATTGGCTTGTGACCAGGAGGCAGTGCAAGCTTCTCCCCCACTCCCATCACCTAGGGCACAACTTGTAAATAATTACTCCAGCCTCTCCTCCTCCTGGCTTGGAACCCAGTTCTGCCCTTTTTCTTTATGCTTTGTTTTGTTTTGTTAGTGCTGCACCTCCCCCTGCAGTGACCTTCAGGGCTAATGGCTGTTGCCATGGTCCCTGAGGTCCGGGCGTGGGCAAGGAACCATAAGCGCAGGGGGAGAACAGCAAATTCCCTAAGATGCAGAGAAGCCGAATGTCTGCCAAGAGATAACAACTACCAGAAGCCGCCACAAAGACTTAAAAGGGATGCTGACCACACAGAACCTTATCTCGCTTTCTCAAGGCCCACAAACTTTATTCTGCTACAACTGTCTTTCTAAAATCTTTCCTTTCTCTGGTCATTGATTGCTGATTATAAAACATATGTAATCTAATAACTAGGCTAATTCAAATGAAACATTACTAAACTGTGTAATAATAGAATTGTTAGTTTTATGATTTCTCTGATTGTGTCCTTGGCTTTGTTATCTTTGATCTTATGAAAAGTATATTCACCCATGCTAATTAATAAATAAGTTAGTGGTAGTGAGTAGTTATTAAAACAAAAAAGTAATTACATAGAACAAAAGAAAGAATTAATAGCCTGTCTACTCAGAAGTGTAGCTAAGTCCAGATGTAACTTCAGACATAGATCACTGCCCTGTCAATGATAAGCTAAACCTATGAGCCAGCTGGTTTAGTTCACTGATAACCGATCCTATGCCTTTAGAAAAACATATATATACTGACCACTGACTCAAATAAAGTTGCACTCAGATTTATACTCTCTCTTGAAGTGTGTCTGTCATTTCTTTCACCGAATCCCTGACCACCCTGTGCAGTCTCTCAACCCTGAGACGGCCTTATCGCTCACTGCTGTGCTGGTCCGCGGCAGTTAGTTTTCAACATTGTGTAAGTCTCAGACATACAGCTTCACACCTCCACATCTGTATAAACCACACTGCACCTGCCACCAAAGGTCTAATTTTCCATCCACCACCATCTAGCCAACCCCCTCCACCTGTGCTCTTCCCCTCTGGTAGCCATTGTGCTATTGTCAAAATCTAAGGGTTTGATTTTGTTTTGTTTTGTTTCTTTATAGTCCACTTGTACTATGTGTATGAAATCATACAGTATTTGTCTTTCTCCTGATTTATTTCACTTAGTACAATCCCTCTCAAGTTCCATCTGTGTCCTTGCAAATGGCAAGGTTTCATCGTTTTTTTAATAACTGAGGAGTATCTATTGTGTATAGATATCAGATTTTCTTTATCCAGCTATCCATCACTGTGCACTTAAGTTGTTTCCACATCTTGGCTATTGTAAATAATGCTGCTATGAACATAGGGGTACATATATCAAGATTAGTATTTTTATATTTTTCATGTAAGTACACAGAAGTGTAATTGCTGAGTCATGTGATATTCTACCTGCTGTTCAACATCAACCTTGTGAGGTGATGTTTTTGTGGACTCATTTTCAACACCAAGGGACAGAAAAGCAAATGCAGATGAATGGGGCTGTCCATCTTTTTTTTTCTTAATGAATATTTATTTATTTATGCATACAAGAAGAGGGGTACCAGCCAGAGGTGCAGGAGGTGAGAGGATTCACCAGAGAGGGTAAGGAACAGAACAGGCAGACTGACTGAAATATACTGCTGAGGGTGTAACAGGGTGGTCCCCAGGAAGGGGGGAGGTTCCAGGTTTCCTGCCCCACCCAAGGGAGGGTGGAGCTGAGCAGGGAGAGAAGAAGCTGCAGAGGAGACTCAGGAAGGAAGCAGGATGGAGCCAGAAGGAGACCTTGGAGGAGGCACATGGAGCCTAGAAACGTGAAGAAACTGCACTTGTCTTTTGGTCGAGGATGGGGTGACACAGATGTGGGTGAGACCCGTGGGGAGGTGACAATGGCAGCTTTTATCTTGATGTTGATTTTGCTCTTTAACTTCCGGGCTTGTCTGGTTGTTTCTGACCCTTTTCTGTGGGTCCCCACTGGAAGATGCTTGAGACTTGTGGCAGGCTTTGGGGCCTTGCTCTGGGCCAACCCCTTTTGGATGGAGTTTTACCCCCGAGGGGGCGGGTTACTTTGGGTGCTTGATTTAGAAACTAGATTCTTTGCCTTTCCTGTATTGTTTCCTAATTGTATTAAAGATCCTTCCCATTAAAGTCTCATGTTTTGTGTTAATGCGGTGGATGGCAGAACCCTGTATAGAATAGGCAGGTTTGCAGGGTTTGGGCTGCCCCTCTCCCTGCCCTATAACAAGGGGAGCAGTGGGCAAGACTGGAGAGGTCTGCTGCGCCATGTGGGTAGCTCTCTGGCAGGCCGGGGATCGAACTCATGCTGCAGAGGCTGTGGATAGCCTCACAGTGCTGTTCTTAAGCCCTTGCACCACTAGGGAGGCCCGGAACTGTCAGTCTTAATACTACCTTGCTTAAAGATGATGTTGTTTTCCCATGCAAGAGGAGATGGTATTGTCCAAAGAGCAGGAGTTCAACTAGAATATAATTTTCATCCGTGTGGATGGCTGGACCTTGTTCGCTTTCTTAGTCAGGAAGAAACAGATATTTTGTTTAAAGCAGTTACATAAACAATAAAGCTACAAAGCCTCCTCCTTATGAATCTTTTCTCATTTTATTTGTTTGCATTGTGTGTTCCTCATACCGGGTGCTAAATTGAGGAAAAACAGATTTATTTTTAAATAAACAATGTTCCCAGGTGTAATCTAGCTGCATCATGAGATGAGGAATTCTAAATCTCTCTCTTAAAAATAATAAAATCTGTCAGGTTTAAAATCCATCAAAGCAAAATACAAGCTATATTTATAAAACCTAATACAAATTACTAAAGTCTTAATTTCTGAGTAATTTCACCACAAGGTGAAGATGTTCAAAATCCCGTGAGAAAACACTCTTGTCAAAAATAAACAAAGATGGAAAATAAGAATAAAAGCTTCTCATATTGTTGCTAACCCCCTGGAGGGCTGATTAATTAGAACAGGGGTAACTCCTCCCTGCTCCCGCAGCCAAGTGAAACCAAGCAGCTTCATTTCAAACCCACACACCTCACCAGCTTATCATCTCTCATCTCAAGATCCACTTTTCTCCTACACTCTCCCCATATTTTCCCTCTCTACACATTTTCTTCTCATCCCTTTCCTCCTTTTCTCCACTTTTCTCTTCCCTCTCTGGGCCCCCCATTCTCTACCTCTCTTGTTTCCTGATCTTTTTCTTATGCGTCCAATCCTTTGCCACTCAAAGACAATATAAAGGCTATAAAACTCAGTCCAAGATAAAGGGTTATGTGTTTTGAGAACACTTATTTTTAATTTTAAAGGTGGGTGCTTTTTCACTCTAGCATAAAAGCTTACTTTTTGTGTGTATGAGTATACCTGCATGCATGTGTGTTTTTGTCTACCATGATCATGGTGATTCCCCCGGGAATTAGTGGATCTTGAAAGAGCAAAGGGTATCTGGCTATAGGCCTACATAATTTTGGATACACACTCTCAAATCAGTTTGAACTCAATTATCTCCTGGATGCACAGGTAACTGTAGGTATAGTGGTGACTTTCTGCCCCTGCCTGTAGAATGTATGATGAATGCTCCAGGGTCAAAACCAAGAAAAGCCTATCACCCCATCCTAAAAGAGGGGCTGGTGACTTCTTACCAGGCTATTAAAACCAGTCCTGTCCATTTTTTACATAAAGCAATTCCCAAGAGACCAAGATGCTGGACAGAAAAAATGTGTCAATTAATGGACTAGTGGATAAAGAAAATGGGAGATATCTCTACCTACCTAGATATCTATATACCTATAGCTATCTCTACCTATCTATCTACCTCTATATTTATATGTGTTGTTATACACTATGTAACAATGCAGTCAATGATGGAGTACAAATACAAGAGTGGCCTCTATTTACAGTCTAGGGGTGCAGTAGGCTATACCATCTAGGTTTGTGTAAGTACACTCTATAATGTTCCACAACAATGAAATCACCCAATGAAACAATTCTCAGAATGCATCCCCATCATTACATGATGCTTGGCTATAATGATGGAATATTATTCAGTCATAAAGAAGAAGGGAATCTGGCCATTTGTGACAACATGGACCTTGAGGGCATTATGCTAAATAAGTCAGACAGAGAAAGACAAATACCATAGGATATCACTTTATGTGTAGAGTTTAAACTAAAAATAAAAACTAGCTCATAGATAAAGAGAACTGAATGATGGTTGCTAGAGGCAAGGGGTGAGGGGTGGGCAAAATGGGTGAAGGTGATCAAAAGGTACTAACTTCCAGTTATAAATAAGTTCTGAAGATTTAATGTACAGCCTGCTGACTAGAGTTAATAATACTATATAGCGCTGTACATTAAAAAGTTGCTGAGAGTAAACGTATTGAAAGTTCCCATTTTGGGCCTCCCCTGGTGGCTCAGCGGTTGAGCGCTGGGCTGCAAAGCTGCCTGCAGCCTCTGCAGCGCCGGTGTGATCCCTGGCTGCCGGCAAGGGTCCCACATGGTGCGCAGACCTCTCCTGCTGCGCTTGCTGCTCCCCTCAGCAGTGTATTTCATCGGTCTGCCTGTTCTGTTCCCCACTCTGGCTCTGGTGAGTTCTTGCACACTCCCGCGCTTCTGACTGTACCCAGAGCTTATATAAATAAATAAATCAATCAAAAAAAGAAAGAAATTCCCATTTTAAGAAAAAAAGTTCTAATTATATATGATGATGGATATTAATTAGATTTATTGTGGTGATTATTTCATAATATATACAAATCAAATCATTATGTTGTATACCTAAAACTTGTATAATGTTATATGTGTTAACCAAAGCTAACAATTCAGTGGCTACTCTTCTCCCCAGTCTCATTAGGGGCATGAGCCAAGTGCCAGCACTCAGCTGATCAGGTCCTAAGAAGAAACTAAGCCTGAGAAAAATGCTGCCTCACTGAAAAAAAAGCACTTGGAAGCTGCTGTGTCTGGGCAAATGGGTAACTTCAAGGAATAACAAGTCTGAGATTTGTGACATTGCTAGAACTCCCAGTTCCCAAAAGATAAACTAAATAGGTTTGACAAATTTTAACAACGCTTTTTGTTTTTGTCAGTCCATAGGTAACATCACACAGATCCATGAACTGGACCCTTACCCGGATTGTCTTTGTAGAAATTCTTAAAATGTTTTATGTAACCTCTTTGCAAATTGTATATAATCCTCATTGAGAAGCTCAAGATCTTTCCCACAGATCTCTGGCGGCTGTTCCAGACTCAAGCCTCAGTCTTTGATTCTTTAATAAACTCACTTTTTTTTAACTTAACTTTATTTAAGTTGACATGTCAATTATATCAATGTTTCAATAGCATTTCCCCTCCTTTGCTCTTCCATTCTTCAGGAGAACATGGATTCCAGAGGCAGAGACTTCCCTTTGTTCTCCCCAGAGCCCAGAACATGTGTGGTGAGGACTGGGTAACCAAACACTGGTTGTTACACCTTATAGCCTATTGGTCTGAGGAAGGCAGTTACAGCGGTGGGAGCTCAGCCTGGTGGAAGGTCTGTCTTCCACAGAACATATCCTTGCTCCTTCATTCCACTCACGGTCAGATCACCAGATCACACCAGGCAGTAGACAATCAAGATGGAGCATGCAGGCAGTATTTGGAATATTACAAAAAATTCCTTGAACACATTCCTAACCCAGAAATGTTGACTGAGTCCCTGGCCAAGGATCTTTGTCCCAAGCTGTTGGTGGTACTATTCCTGTTCTGTCAAGCTATTGGACATAAAGGTGGGCCATTTCCATGGTTGAAAATATTTGGGAGGCATTCTCACCAGCACAGAGGGGACAGGGAGGTGAGATGGGGAAAGTCCCAGGAAGAGACCATATTCAGGCAACCAGAATGTTTCAGGCTTTGTTCTTCTCCTTCTCAAGAAAAGTCAAGCCCTCTTCCCTCCTCAATCCTTGCTGAGCTAGAAGGTGGTTGGGAGGCTGGGGAGAAGAGGTATTGTAGTTCCCAACAGCAGTCTGCACATATTCTCTGGGTTCATAAGAAAAAACAAAGTAGAGCTGAGGCGTGAATGTTGCCTAACACCCTGACACACGAGCAAGCAGAGGAAGTCGGTGATGTGCTCTGGTGTTGAACAACTGAATGGGAAGGGTGGGAGGCTGGCAGTGCAGCTGTACCATCTGCTTATTTCTATGGTGTAAATGCTCCCAACTTCAGGCTACCACAGTGACATCTGGACAGTGATTTAGGAGTAAGTGTACAGGCAGCTCACCAAGCAGATATGACAAATGAGAAATGGCAAATACGGTAAAATGAAAAGTGATGTTCTGAGTAGTTTTACCTTTGTTTGCAGTATAACTTATTTAAATGTGTGTATAAAAATTTTAACTTTTAAATGGCTGTATTTATCCACCAGTTTGCAAAATCCTGAAAATTGAACATTCTGTTCTTACAGACTAGTGAGAGTAGCTCCCACACCACCTCAAGAAAGTCACTGCCTCTCATCTAGTTAGATGGGAAAGGCTGGTGCTCAGATCCAGCGGGATTTTAAAAGCCATAGTAATAGTAGAAGGGGGGCCTCCCTGGTGGTACAAGGGGTTAAGGACAGCACTATGAAGCTATCTGCAGCCTCTGCAGTGGGAGTTAGATCCCCGACCACAGAGTTACCCACATGGCACAGCAGACCTCTCCTGACTCACCACTGCTCCCCTCAGCAGTGTGTTTCAGTCAATCTGCCTGTTCTGTTCCCCACTCTGTCTCTGGTGAATCCTTTCATCCCCTGAACCTCTGGCCTGTACCCCAGTTCTTGTATGCATAAATAAATAAATCTTTTAAAAAAATAGTAGAAGGGAAGGAGTTCTCCTTAGTATTGACATTTGTGCATAAAGATTGCACTTCTCCAACCAGGTAGCTTCTCAGTGCCTATAAGACACTCGGCTGCATCTACCACCAACTCCTCCTTCCTCAGTCAACATTTTCATCCAAGCCCTCCACACTGAGCCTCACTTATTTCCAGTAACTTCTACTTTGCCATGTTACCATGTCAACAATCTAAAGATTAGCTACATGAATATCTTACTGAATGGGAAAAGGAAGCATTAGCTTCCATTCAATATCCATTCAGGATATTTACAAAAACCTCAGCAAACTAGGAATAAAACAAAATTTCCCTGATCTAATAAAAGGCATCTATGGGAAAACGTACAGCTAATGTCATATTTAATAATGAGAGAGTAAATTGTTGGAAGATTAGAAACAAGGGAAAGATGCCCTCTTCTACCACCCCTATTCAACAGTTTGCTAAAACACCTAGCCAGTATAATAATGCAATAAAAAGAAATAAAGGACATATAGATGGGAAGGGAAGGAACAAGAATATCTTTATTTATAGATAATAAAATTGTCTATGTCGCCAACTTCAAGGACTCTACAAAAAGGTCTTGAAACTAATAAGAGAATTAGCAAGGTGGCAGAGTACAAAAGAATGTACAGAAGTCAACCTGATTCCTTTATATTAGCAATGATTAACTGAAATCAGCATTGTAAAAAATACCATCCACAATAATACTCAAAAAAAGTAAAGAACTTAAGTATACACCTAACAAAATATATGCATAATTAGTTTGCTAAAAACTATAAAAGATAGGCGAAAGAAACCAAAGAAGATCTAAATAAAAAGACGACATGCGGGGCCTCCCCGGTGGCGCAGCGGTTGAGCGCTGGGTTACGAAGCTGCCCGCGGCCTCTGCAGCGCCGGTTCGATCCCCGGCTGCTCCCCGGCCACCGGAGGAGGGTCCCACATGGTGCGCAGACCTCTCCTGCCGCCCGCTGCTCCCCTCAGCAGTGTACTTCGGTCCTTCTGCCTGCTCTGCTCCCCGCTCTGGCTCTGGTGGATTCTCTCACCCTCCCGCGCTTCTGACTGTACCCAGTGCATGTGTAAACAGAACAAACAAACAAAACAAATAAATAAAGAAATAAACATGCCTCTATAAAAATAAATAAATAAATAAATAAATAAATAAATAAAAAGACGACATGCAACGTTCATGGATTGGAACACTCGACATTGTTAAGATGTCAAGTCTCTGCAAATGAAGAGTCAATGCAAAACCAATCAAACTTTCAGCAGGAGTCTTTTTAAATAAAAGCAAGCTGATTCAAAATTTTATACGAAAAATCAAAGGAATCAAAATATTTTTTATTTTTTATGTGTGTTTGGATATGTATAGTTTTTTTATTTTTTTTTATTTTTTTTTTTTATAGAGGCATGTTTTATTTATTTATTTTGTTTGTTTGCTTGTTTTTGTTTATACATGCACTGGGTACAGTCAGAAGCGCGGGAGGGTGAGAGAATTCACCAGAGCCAGAGCGGGGAGCAGAGCAGGCAGAAGGACCGAAGCACACTGCTGAGAGGAGCAGCGGGCGGCAGGAGAGGTCTGCGCGCCATGTGGGATCCTCCGCCGGTGGCCGGGGAGCAGCCGGGGATCGAACCGGCGCCGCAGAGGCCGCGGGCAGCTTCGCAACCCAGCGCTCAACCGCTGCGCCACCGGGGAGGCCCATGTATAGTTTTTTTAAATTTTTAATTGAGGTAATATTTGGACACCCCCATCAGGTGTTGCCACCATAGTGCACCCACCACCAAATCACCCACAGTCCACCACCATATTCCATTTTGCCTCCTTTACTCTTTGTTCTTACCCTTTCCCCACCCCACCCCCCCCTTGCTCTGGATGCTTCAATTCTGTAGTCAGCTTTCAAGGATTCATTTTTAAAAATTAGAAAATGAACAGAGGTCTCACACTACAAGAATTATGGTAGTAAAGGGAGTATGATATTAGCAATAGGAGAGAAACTAGATCAATGAACAGAATTGAGAGTCCACAAGTAAACCCTTATATTTAGGGCCAATTTATTTATTTATTTTTAAAATATTTATTTATTTATGCATACAAGAGCTGGGGTACAGGCCAGAGGTGCGGGGAGGTGAGAGGATTCACCAGAGACAGAGTGGGGAACAGAGCAGGCAGAAGGACCAAAGTACACTGCTGAGGGGAGCAGCAGGCAAGTCAGGAGAGGTCTGCTGCACCATAGGGCTGGCTGGGGATCGAACTCCTGCTGCAGAGGCTGCGGATAGCTTCATAGTGCTGTGCTTAACCCCTTGCACCACCAGGGAGGCCCTATTTTTGATAGAGCTGTAAAAGCAATTCAATGAAAAAAGTATGGTATTTTTCACAAATGGTGCTGGAACATTTGGACATATAAATGCATATAGATGCATATAAACATGCATGAGAAAGAGAGGCCTTCCTCTATATACCTTATGTGGCAGCTCCTGCCTCCATGGTTGGCAATGCCACTGTTGCCACCATTGCTCGCCAGTAATTGGATGAAATAAAGAGTGGCTGTACTGTGGATGCTCACAAATAAAGTACGTAAGACCCTCTTCCCCTGTGCGCTGGACTGGACAGTCAATGACGGGTAAGATTGGGGGCAGACTAAAGAAGGCACTGGCCAGCCTCATGTCTGTGACTCCTGACGACCTAAGACAGACGCAGTCCCCGAGGGGCTTCATCATAATAAACTTTGGCGTTCAGATCAAACAAGGCCTACAAGCCTATAAGCCCAATCTAGGCAATAAGCCTGCAGTAAAAAACCCCTTCTTTGCTTGAAAACAAGGCTGCTGAGAGCGTTGCCTACAAACAAGCCTGATGGAATTACCTACAAAGCAGTTTAACCATTAACCAGTTAATCATTGTTTCTGAATAAGTAGTAACTTAGCAACTTGTCCATAATTAATTTTCTTACCTGACTTTTTCTATATATGTAAAAATCAGTTTCAGGAAATGTAACCACATATGCTTAGCAACTTGTAAACTATTAGCTAGAAAATTGTATTCTATGCCTAGGTAACAAAAAACATTGTTATGCTGGGAAAATAGATTTTGTGTGACCTAATGCCTTTTGAAAATGTATAAATATGCGTAATGATTTGAGCAAATTACACTCAGATTTTCACTCTCCCTTGAGTGTGTCTGTGTGTCATTCTTTCTTGTCCCCCGCCCTAATTCCTTCGACCACCTTTTGCTCGTTCTCACTCAACCCTGAGACTGTCTCGATCTCCCGCCACCGCTGAGCTGGTCTGTGGCAACCTTACATGCAAAGCCAGTTGAAGGAGATAACAGACCTAAATGTAAAATCTAAATTAATAAAATTCAAAGGGGGTGTGGGGGAGTTGCTTGCTCTTCTGTTCTTAAAGAATTGTTTTTAACTTCAAAACCCCATAATTGGGGCC